ATTTATGGGGGATATCCCCTATAAATTTCCAGATATTCCCAATGGATTTCTGGATATCCCCTATAAATTCCAGGATATCCCCTATAAATTCCTGAATATCCCCTATAAATTTCTGGATATTCCCAATGGATTTCTGGATATTCCCAACAGATTTCTGGATATTCCCTATAAATTTCCAGATATTCCCAACAAATTCATGGATATCCCCCATAAATTCCTGAATATCCCCTATAAATTTCTGGATATTCCCAACGGATTTCTGGATATTCCCTATGGATTTCTGGATATTCCCTATAAATTTCCGGATATTCCCAATGGATTTCTGGATATTCCCAACGGATTTCTGGATATCCCCTATAAATTTCTCTATATTCCCAACGGATTTCTGGATATTCCCAACGGATTTCTGGATATTCCCAACGGATTTCTGGATATCCCCTATAAATTCCTGAATATCCCCTATAAATTTCTCGATATTCCCAACGGGTTTCAGGATATACCCAACGGATTTCTGGATATCCCCTATAAATTTCCAGATATCCCCTATAAATTTCTGGATATTCCCAACAGATTTCTGGATATTCCCAACGGATTTCTGGATATCCCCTATAAATTTCTGGATATCCCCTATAAATTCCTGAATATCCCCTATAAATTTCTGGATATTCCCAACAGATTTCTGGATATTCCCAATGGATTTCTGGATATCCCCTATAAATTTCTGGATATTCCCAACGGATTTCTGGATATCCCCTATAAATTTCCGGATATCCCCTATAAATTTTGATATCCCCTATAAATTCCAGGATATCCCCTATAAATTCCTGAATATCCCCTATAAATTTCTGGATATTCCCAATGGATTTCTGGATATTCCCAACAGATTTCTGGATATTCCCTATAAATTTCCAGATATTCCCAACAAATTCATGGATATCCCCCATAAATTCCTGAATATCCCCTATAAATTTCTGGATATTCCCAACGGATTTCTGGATACCCCCTATAAATTCCTGAATATCCCCTATAAATTCCAGGATATTCCCAACAGATTTCTGGATATTCCCAATGGATTTCTGGATATCCCCTATAAATTTCTGGATATTCCCAACGGATTTCTGGATATCCCCTATAAATTTCCAGATATCCCCTATAAATTTCTCGATATTCCCAACGGATTTCTGGATACCCCCTATAAATTTCCGGATATCCCCTATAAATTTCTCGATATTCCCAACGGATTTCTGGATACCC